CGCAAACCCACTGGGCAGCGGCTACAAAACCGCAGCAGCGGACGTGGCAGCAGCAGCAGCTACAACAGCAACAACAGCCGCCGCAGCAGCAGCAACCGCAGCAGCAACAGCATCAGCAGCAGCATCAGCAGCTCCAGCAGCAGTTGCATCACCGACAGCAGCAGCAAGCGCAGCAGCACATGCCGTCAATGCAGCAGCACCTGCCGCAGGCGCAGCAGCCGCAGCAGCACCAGCAGCAGCAGCAGCAGCAGCAGCAGCAGCAGCAGCAGCAGCAGTTGCTGCTGCACCCTTGGCAGCAGCAGCAGCAGCAGGACCCTCACAATCGTCGTTTCTTGATAGATATTCCTCCGCCTCCAGGGCTGCAGCAACTGCAGCAGCGGCTGCTGCAGGCGCAGCATCCTGCAGCAGCAGCAGTTGCTGCTGCTGCTGCAGCAGCAGCGACAGATACCCACCATATACCAACTTCCCCCTCAGCTCCTGCTGCAGTGCATGCTGCAGTTGCTGCTGCTGCTGCTGCTGCTGCCGCTGCTGCTGCTTCTATGCCAGCTGTTCCTCCCCCTGCGAACTGGTTCAGTTGCCCTGGGCAGCAGCAGCAGCAGCAGCAGCAGCAGCAGCAGCAGCAGCAGCACGTATTGTTTCCGACTCCTCAGCAGCACCAGCAGCAGCAGCAACGGCAGCACCAGCAGCAGCAACAGCAACAAAAACAACAGCAGCAGCAGCAGCAGCACTTTATCCAACAACAAGGCCAGCAGCAACGCCACGAACACCAGCGGCGGATGCATATGCATCAGCAGCAGCAGCAGCAGCAGCAGCAGGAGCAGCAGCACCAGCAGCACCAAATGCACCAGCAGGTACAGCCGCAACAGCAGCAGATGCAGCAGCAGCAGCAGATGCAGCAGAAGATGCAGCTACATCAGCAGCAGCAGCAGCCGCACCAGCAGCCTGCGCCTCCGCCGCCGCCGCCGCCACCGCAGCAGCAGCAGCATCAACAGCAACAGCAGCAGCAGCAGCAGCAGCAACAGCATCAGCAGCAGCGAAAGCAGCAGCAAGT